TTCTGTATATTGATTAGAGATTACAGTTACTTAAATTAATACTCAAGTGTCATTACATGCAAGTTGTGATTAGTTATTCTTAAAAATTCAAACATTTCGATTTTGACATTTCAATTTAAAGCTTGTTAATCTGTTAGTCATATATCTAGGTTCATCTAAAGTAAGTATAAATAAACCTTAATTGACCTAATGGCCAATTTAATAGCCTTAGTTAGTTATACATTCCTTGTGCATTTTTTTTCCAAGACCGAATTAAGTATAACAGAACTGAAGAAAAAATCTAGATATTATCACGGATATTTCATTTTGTATACAAATAACAATGAATAAAACTATTTGTAATATCAATGGGATATTACAAAAATATCCTTGTTATTTATAACAATCTACCTAATGCTCAATTTATTTGAAATTATCAACCCATATCTTGGTAATCACGCGTATAAATAACAATGATTTCTTTATAAGCTTAGATTACAAGTTGGGAAATATGATCAATACAGGTTTTTTTTAATAAGAAATCTGTTAAAAAGGGTATTTAAACTTCATTAAATACTGCAAAATATTTCTGTTTGCAATAGTTGTTCAAACGACTTGATCTTAACATATACACATATATCCAAATCGTCTAATAGGTTCTGCGCTGTCCATTGTATTCCGTGTTTTTCCTCAGATGTCGAGGTCTTCATAATCCAGTCGACCACCCGGAGAAAGAGTAAGGGAGAGAGTAGACAGCCTTATCTGACTCCGGTCTATACTTGGAATGCATTTGTCAGCTGTTCTCCATACACATGATGAATAGCAAACAAATCTAAACAATGTTGTAGTAATGACGATGAGAAAAATTGAACATTGTCAATAGGTTTTGAAAAGTAGTAACATAAATTATGCATAAAGGAACACTGTTACTTGAGATTTAGTAGAAAGTAAAGAGTTAAACCATTTACCTTTGCACTGTAGTCCGTAGTATGATTTCCGGATAATGTCAACAATCTTCTCAATAAACTCAATGAACATAATCTGTAATCAACCTGTGCATTTCATCCAAATAGACTAAAGTCAATTTGATATACATTATATACATATCTGTTCTATTTATTGAATTCATTATTAAGTTTAAATGTGATTAAATATTATATCTTATGACTGTAAAAATAACAATCTTTTCTAGATACTATCATTTCCCTATGATTCTTTTTTCAATAACATTTATAACCAATATTATTCTTTTCGAATGATGTATTTCAGAAATTCTAATTCAATAATCAATATATCCTGTAGGATGGGTTGTTAACTAATTTTTTTCACTTGTTGAAATCATGAGTCAATTGAAGCTAGGCCACCATGGAAAACTTGGAAGCACTGGACGGCCGTTTCGTCCTAGCATAGGACTCTTCAGCAGTGCGCATCCACGATTCCGCACCCCGCGAGATTCGAACCCAGGACCTATCAGTCTCGTGCCAGGCGCTTAACCAACTAGACCACTGAGCCGGCATCCAACGTTGTTAATGTCTAACTTCAAACAATCCACGAAGTTGCACTTTTAAATATAATTCAAAGGAATGATACAAAACATTAGTATAGAATAGGTTTTATCAACTTAGCTAACATATTTTTCTTTTGTTTAAATAAAGTAACTATTTAACAATGTCTATCTGTCGTTTGTTTGTTTATTTGTTTATTTTTGAAAACAAACAACAACAAAAAACTTTTCACATTTGTAATAACAAAAAGAAATTGTTTATTCATATTAAACGTTTATTTAAAGCTTTGTTTTGTTCTGAGTAGTAATAATGATAATAATAATCTTGTTTTTGAACACTTTTGTTTTATTTGATATACATGTATTGTTTTCCTTTTTTAAAAGTTGAACAATAGTTGACTGACATGATCACATCTTGAATGTCAACAAAGTGATTATTGTTTACATACCGTTTTTTCAATGTTTGTCTGTATTAATTTACTAAAATTAATATTAACACTTGTGAAAGAATATATTACGGGATGAATTACATTTTTAACTCAATATGACATGGTGGTCTAGCTTCAATTGACTCATGATTTCAACTATTGAAATTACTACAATTTCCACAAAACCTCTTCTGGTAATAATCATCCATTCAGTAGTGATTGACTTCAAGAGGCGATTCCTGGAGTTTTAGCAAGAAGCGATGACCAGTGAAGTCATTTTGAGACAATTGATGGACATTTTGTAAATTGAGCATTTACTTTATGATTGCTAGATTTTATTAACAAGTCCTGTGGTTCTGTGTTAAATACATTCAATTGTCCCCACTCATGTTCTTGTTCACTACAGTAGGACATGCCTACGAAATTACTGTGTACGATTGCATAGGATTATACTGCTGTTTATAATTTTGCAATTTAGTCCACTTAAATTATCAAATGTCTTACCGGTTAAGATCTATTTTGAAATTGAGAGATAAAGATTCAGTTTCTAAATCATAATAAACTGATAATTTTCAATTTATCCTACAGTCAAAATGCTTCCCAAAATGCCTTGTAGATCTTTCATCACAAAAATACTTAGGTAACGATATTTAAACTCGTATTTAACATCAAAAATAAAGTTTATCGATCTGGTTTTGATCAATATCATAGTGTTCTTGAAACTGGTGGAATGATTTGTGCGCTTTGATACAGTTACGCTGATAATAAAACTACAGAACTATATATCTATCCCGTTCTCTGAAATAAAGTGAAATCCAGACTGCTGAAAATCCAAGGTAACAACTGTTAAACTATTATAAAAGGGGCAAATGTTTCAGTGCCAGGAATGATCACTAAAAAGCCCTTCTTTGTAAATGTTTGATTTCCTTGATTATTCGTTCCATAACATCTTGCAAAAATTGTAATGAAATGATATAAACAACCATTCGATGAATAACTTAGTTGACTTATAATAATAAAAACAAAATATTTTTTAATATTCCAGTAGGCATTGAGATGAAATTTTTGACCTTTTTGACTTATTGTAACTTTTATCTTCACAAAAAGGTAGTGATTTTAAGTTCACAATAACTTCAATATTCTTATCCTGAGCTACAAGTATTCCACATCATCATCTCAAGTTGATTTAAAAAATAAAAGTTAAACAATCAACACACTTCAAAACGCTTTAGACTGAATAACCGACACATTTCATTTACAAAACTCTTGGTATGACATTTTGAGTAGAAAATAATTCTAATCTTCACGAAAGAGCCATTGGAATCTAAAACTCATATCAGCAGTAGTAGCACATAAAAAATTAAACAACCATCAAATTGATAATATGAATATCAAAAAATGATTTCAGAAATTTAAAGAAACCTAAATAGCTGAAACGCTTCATTGAAATATGAAATTATTCCGTGATCAATAGAGCTCTTATGAACCAACCGAACATGACAATCTCTTTAGATGATCACATTCAAACTGAGCAGAATCACATGACAAAAAACAACACATTAATCTACTCGTTCAGATCACAAGTATTACTTGTATCGTACCCAGTTATACATACACATTATTAAATAAAAACATGTCTTCCATAGAATCATAATTCACCTGAATAATAGCATTATTATAATCAAATTTGTTTGAATGTACTAAATATTTGATTCGATCTGTTCTTTGTACATTGTGAACTTGTGTTAAATTGAAAGTTTGTTATTCTCTTAGGACGTGACTTTAACTGAATGTCAAAAACTCAATTTTTGTTACAACAATAAAAGAAATGTATTTTTATTATTAAAAAGTTTATTCCATGTTTCATTTATTTTAAATTATTGAATCATACTTTGAAATTTATATCGATTACTGTTAAGTATTTGTTACAGCTTTAAAACATGAATAGAAAATAGGGAATTCTTTTCAAAAGACTGTAATGTGCTACAATATAACAGATAGTTGCCAAGTATACATACATACATACATACATACATACATACTTACTTACTAACGCCTGTTACTCTTTGTGGAGGGGGATAGGCCACTCAGCAGCACTCTACATCCAACCATATCCTAGACAATCCTTTACAGCTCTTTCCATTTGTTATTCATCCTTTTCATATCTCCTTCTATTTCCCGACGTCATGTGTTCTTTGTTCTTCCACTTCTCCGCTTCCCTTCACCATTCCAAGCAACAGCTTGCCTCGTGATGCAGTTTGGTGATTACTACAATGTATGTTCTATCCATTTTCAACGTCCTCTCCTAATTTCCTCTTCAGATCGAACCTGCTTTGTTCTCTCCCACAGTAGGTTGTTGCTGATGGCATCCGGTCAACGGATATTGAGTATCTTGTGTAGACAACTATTTATAAATACTTTCACATTCTTCACGATGGTTGTATTAGTTCTTCAAGTTTAAGCTATATACAGTAGAACTGTCTTGAAGTTCGTTTTGAACATTCTCACTCTGATATTGGTTGACGGTTGTTTTGAGTTCCATATGTTCTTCGACTGTAGGAATGCAGCCCTTGCTTGGTCAATCCTCACCTGTACGTCTGCATCCGATCCTTCTTCTCCATCGATGATGCTTCGCAGATGCATGAAAGATTCCACATCTTCCAGAGTTTCTCCATCAAGGGTGATTGGATTGGTGTTATCCTTGTTGTATTTGAGGATCTTGCTATTTCCTTTGTGTAAGTTGGGGTCTATTGATTCAGAGGATGTTTCTACACTTGTTGTCTTCATCTGCATTTGTTCGTGTGTATGGGATAGGATGGCTAGGTCATCTGCGAAGTCCGAATCGTCTGAATGGTTCTGAGCTGTCGATTGTATTCCGTACTAAAAAAATTCCCAACCAGATTTAACAAATATACATACATATCTGATGAAATGAAAATCCATAAAAACATCGTTGAAAAGTATAAAATAGATTTTAGAATTTATAAATTATATTATTCAAAAATATTTTTCTTTCAAAATTTAATTATTTAGCCTACTTATTTATTTATTGACAATAAGTGACAACCATACGTTTTCTTTTTTTTTAGATTTTTCATTGTTGGCGATACATCCATCATTTTGTATGTTGTAAATCTGGACTACATTGTACAATGTTCAATCTTCGAAAGATAGATACAGTGTAACATGGATAAGAATGAGTTTATCAAATATATATATATATATATATATATGCATAATGTGTTTAATCATCTTTTTATTTTTACAATAAAATGAATCTAATTCATTTTTGTTTTATTTTACACAATAAATCTTCAAAAACGTTTTTTTTTCAAACAAAAAGAAATTGAAATTGGTGCACGAAACATTTATTGATTGTTTTTGAAGTTTGTTGAAAAGAACTTGGTTTGTATTAGGTTTTGGTGACCCTATATTTGATTCCAGTTAGATCAGACACAATTATTATCAAATGCTTGCTGTCGAAATATATATTCTGGCTATCCTCGTATATAATTATCGAATTCAATCGCGTAGGTGAATAACGGAATTAAATTTATCAAATACGAGAATGTAGTTTTGAGTACGTATATTTTGTACAATCGTTGATCAGAACAGACAATCGGAGAAACGTAGCGAAGTAAAAAGGTTGCATGGTGAAAAAGGTATATGAACCAACTCAATTTAATCAAGCGTTAATCAATATCTACAGTCGAACGAAAATATGTTACAGACATGTGATGAGTAGGATAAGAAGCGCACACACATACGCTCATATAAAACAGTTAGCGTTGACAAGCGGATAATTAACAAAGTCAAGCTACAGTTGCTTCCTTTCTGTTTTTGTCCAATGCATTACTCTATGTAAACCTTACACACAGTTATTGAGCTTAATAATTGTGAATTTAAATGGGACCGCGCAAGATTTTGTATTTTTACTATAAATTAAAAGTTTAAAAACGGTTTCAAAAACATTTATTTCGAACAAAAATGTTAAAACAATGTTCTGATGACTGTTAATATCTTCTTTCTTGTCAAGTTAAAGCAATTTAAATAAAGCCAGAACGAACATTGATGCAGAATAATATGAATTCATTATATTTTGTGGTTTCTCAATCGCCGCTTACAACAAAATATATATTAGAATTTTACATTGAAGGAAGATGTAGTTTGGGACAATTGACGTATGTGAATGTAAAGAATTTGAATAACAAGGGTTATCAATAATCACTATATATATATATATATATATATATATATATATATATTTATATATGCAAGAACAGGTCAGAGGTTATTTGGTGTTGGAATCAAAAAATATTAGAAAAGGGTGATGTAATCGTTGACTGAAGTCCAGACACAGATAAGATAATTTCACTGGTTGAAATCATGAGTCAATTGAAGCTAGACCACCATGGAAAACGTGGAAACACTGGACGGCCGTTTCGTCCTAGTATGGGACTCCTCAGCAGATAGGATAAGTTGTGATAATTTTAGAGGTAACTATTTATGATGGATCATTCGCAGTACAATTTATTAATTCTAGTATTCAGTATATTGAAACAAATGTCGATAGAGAGTAATCAAAATTCTATGAATAAACAATAAACCCTATTCAAAGTGAACGTGTTATTTATTAAAACTCTTAATTATTCGGATAAACACTAGAAATCAGAATTATTTCAACTATAAAGAAACTTGCTTACATATAGAAGAATCATTGAATCAAAAATAAAATTTAAAATTGCTACTTATATCAATCATACAAAACAAAAAGGATTATACTAGTAAATAATACAATTAATTGAACTGTGAATAAATATTCAATATGAAATTATTAACTAAAAAAAATAATCAGAGAGGGATTTTGTGAATATTATAGAAATTTAATGGTTGAGTTCATGAGTCAAATTGAAGCTAGACCACCGTAAGAAACCTGAAAGCACTGGATGGCCGTTTCGTATTAGTATGGAACTCTTCAGCAGTGAGCATCCACGATCCCGCCTTGTGAGATTCGAACCCAGGACCTATCGGTAACGCGCGCGAATGCTTAACCTCTAGATCATTGAGCCGGCTTCCAACAGTGTTAGTGTCTAACTTCAACTAATCAACGAAATCAAGTGACACGTTCACCATTGTCTTTAGTGAGTTACTATCTCACAACAGACCTGTCCATTGCTTCCAGATTTTCCTTGTTGTCTAGCTTCAATTGACTCATGAATTTAAACATTAGAAAATAAACGATATTTCATTCATACTCATTGCTTAATCTGATTAAACTAATTGCTTAAAGATTTTAATGAAGTATGATGAGCAAGTTATTTGATAAATTTCAATAAATTCTAATTCTAAAAAGGATTCTTGGCACCATGATTACAAGTAGAATGAACTCAGCCTTATTTAACAGACTAATATTTGAACGAATATTCTTTTCGATAAATTCTCGTCAGAATCTACGATTATATATTTAAATTAATAATCCTAAAAAATGGCCACGTTAAGGGTAAAGTACATCGTTTAAGGCATGTGAATTTAGGACTGTCAAACGAAATAGAATAAAATTGTTAATGTTGATATGACTCATATAGAATGTTAACTAGGATCTGCATATATGTTAAGTGAAATTTTAAGATCCATGATCAGAATAAATATGGGTCTGATAGAGTGAGAGAAATAATAATGCAATTACAATTCGATCAAATGTTTGGTTGAAGACTGTATTGTGTGAAAAACTAGTAAGACGTAATAAGGAGAGATGAATGGGGAGTGAATGAACCATGTATAAGAGAGATTAATATTAATGTTTAACCAATAGTAATAATAATAATAATAATGATAGGTTGAGGTTAATCATTAACACCGTTGGATACCAGCCATCTCAGTGGTCTACAGGTTAGTCGTTCGTGCGCGAGACTGAAAGGCTCTGTGTTCGAATTTCGCTAGGCGGGATCGTGAATACCCACTGCTGAAGGGTTCCATACTAGTACGAAATGGTCATCCGGTGCTTCCAGGTTTCTCATGTTGGTCTAGCTTCAATTTGACTAGTGAATTCAACTATTAAAAATGATACAAACATTTGTGAATAAGGATAACAGAGGCAATTACATTTGACTACGAAAGGTTGTAAGTGCAATAGTCGAATTAGGTCATTCAGTAGCTTTATTTGCTGAGTTTGTTTTTAAAAAATATGTTCTAAGCAAATGTTATTATCTTATAACTTTGATTTTCTCATTGATGTCTTAAAATTTCCCTCTACATATTGAATTCTTCAAATGTACGTTCTATATGTGATTTTCTTTAAAACATTAAATTGATTTATAATATTTAGAAGGTATGCTTTAAAGTATTTACAAATTTTTGGCTCCATTCCTGTTATTCGTATATGGTAGTGACATTTTGTGTTTTACAAAATTTAATTCATTTTTAACTATTGAAATGTTTGATGAATATAGTCCTGTTTGGTAATGGTGTTGTTTAAATTCTAAATATAATTAATTGTACGTGTAATTGGTATTCACAGGATTATATTGACTTTGATGAATTGTTCAAGATCTTATACTCGGCTATTAGTTTTATTTAGTAAGTTAGTAACGAATTATAACGTGAATGTAGTAAGATGACTAAAATGTTTTGTCACAATAATTAAAGGTCATTAAAGAATTCTACAAGTGTGAGAGGACAGCAATTAGGTGTTCTATACTTGAACACCTAATCGACTGTTATCATTCTACGAATCCACAGTTTGATTTTAAAGTTGTATATACGGTTCGTTCAAATCTGCCTAGATTTCTTCATATCCAACTCCTAAAAAGAGCCTAGCTCTTACCATCCATGAGCTCAAGCGAGAACTATGCGTACAAAAGAACTATGTCCTATCATTATCGTTAAAGTAGCCTTAATTATTATTATTACTGCATCCCTCCTTTACTTATGTCTCATATTCTCATTATTTTATCCATAAGTATTCATCATATCACTTTATTTATTTTTTACACCTCTATGACCTTTAATGATTGTAATAAAACCTATTAGTCATCTTACTACTTTCACGTTATAATTCGTTACTAACTTACTAATTCTGTTGTTATTATTCGTATTACGTAGTCTAGTAATATAATATTAGTTTTATTAATATTCACCAGTTTCACTGGTTGAAATCATCAGTCAGTTGAAGCTAGAACACCATGAAAAACCTGTAGGCACTGGACGGCTGTTTCGTCGTAGTATGAAACTCCTCAGCAGTGCGCATCCACGATCCCGCCTCCCGCGAGATTCGAACCCAGGACCTATCAGTCTCGCGCCAGGTGCTAGACCAACTAGACTGAACATATTTTATAAGTTTCAAAGCTGATACTAATAGGTTATCATTGAAATCATTCTGACGATCGATGACACTATTGATTTGTGCCAACTGAACAATCAATCAAAATTTTAGTATTACAGAATTTGTTATGTCATTATTTGAAAGCTTTCCAATATACTTTCTGTTCCTCATTTATTCAAAGAAATAAATATGAACTTGTAAAAACATAGATGTTATTCAACCTATTCAGCAAATAAGTGAAAATTCACATACCTGACAGAACGTTTTCATTTGCATTAAATTATCAAAGTTTAAAAGTATGAGTAGTATACGTAAGTGATAGAAATCATTTCCCTCTACATACGTTTTTGACCACTCACCTTATGAATGATACCCTAAAGTATTTTTATATTGTAGAATTATCATCTTTGAAAGGAGTTCTAATAAATTCATTTGATAATCTTGTCTATTGAATGTAATAATTAGATTCAACGTTTGGGAAATATTTAATATTCTGAAATGGTGTAATTTTTATATGTTTTTACCTGTTATATAAAACAATTTAGCATCAATGTTGTAACGACCGAAATGCTAGTATTCGGTTTGAACGCAGGACTGAAGAACCAAAATGTATTCGAATAGGCCAGACTACGTTCTTCTGCATAGCTTACAAAGCGTCTTTGAGAAACTTGTATTAAATATATGAAAACACAAACTCCGTGCTCAATTTAGAAGGTTCTAGTTTAAGAAATAGGACAAATTATATCAGAAATACAATATACCTCAAACGGTATAGCCTGTGCTATACAGTCAGAGTTTCTCTGAAGCAAAGTAGCGCGCTAAGCAATAAAAGAAACAGTTAATACTAAAGCGTTTGATACCTGAGAATCAATAAAACATTCCCAACAAGATGGGACCAAATATCTGTCTACAAGGATCCCAGCAATCCTCCCAAGCAGACAGTCAAAAGGTTAGGCAGTCAC